TCCACCAAATTTTTAAATAACGGTAACAGTAACGAGTTACTTTTGAGAATCAGCTTTTTTTAAACAAATAATCGGTTATACCATCACACTACTCAGTTTCTTTTTATAAAAGCGTGTAGAGTTATTTCCGCTCGCTTCAAGCGAGTACATGCGATCGCGTGTGCGAGTATGAAGGTGCTGCACGAGCAGCGAACTTGCGACTCATATAGCGAACACAATATCATTTTAAGTCCATATAAAAAAAAATTTTATGATACATAAAAGAAAATCTTGTACTCACGTTAAGAAATTTTTCATATTGTACAGCCATATTCATAGTATTATCACTATAATCTAAAGTGTCTTTCCATGAATGCAGAAGAAAGGCAAGTCTGAGCTGCCTACTTGAATATTTCTTTAAAGCGTCTTGTATCGTTACAAAGTTCTTTAGTGACTTGGACATCTTGCAGCCAGCTATAGTCAAGTGGCCAGAGTGCAGGAAATATCTAACCCAATGTGAATTATTGAAACATGCTTCTGCTTGCGCAAGTTCGTTATCGTGATGAGGAAATTTGAGATCTACACCGCCTGTATGGATATCTAAACTTTCTCCACAAATTGCAGACGCCATGACCGAGCATTCAATATGCCATCCTGGACGTCCTCTGCCCCAAGGACTCTCCCACCATGGTTCACCTGCCTTTGAACATTTCCAGAGCGCAAAGTCTGTTACCGATCTTTTTTCAGAAAGCTTATCTGCTGTAGTACTCAAATCGCCTTAATAAAATAAAGTAAAAAAGAAATCATTTAATTTAGTTTTCAAAAATATATTTTAAAAATCAAATATATGATAGATAATGCGTTCAGCAGAGAAAACTGATCAGTGACTGTTAAGTTCTTTGGTTCTTGCTTTTACTTCTTCTCTATCTAAGTATAAGAACTAATCATATAAAAGATCACTGGGCACTCATTGATCAGTTTTATCTACTGAACACAGCCGTTAACTCAAACTTACCTTCTCCCTCTTCTAAACTTGACGTATCACCGTACGCTTCTGGTACAAGCTTAGCATAAGAATGTTTCTCTTGTTTATCAAATTTGTCTACGTCAAAGTATACCGATCCATTACTTTCGTAAGCATATCCATTATCTATTATTCGTTGTATAAATGCTATTATGTCCCGTATATATTCGCTAACTCTTGTGAGCACGTTTGGTTTTAATATCTAAGAGATTTGTGTGAGATAATTATAGTAGTTACAAACCAGATTAGTCTTAAAAACATCAAAAACATTCAAATCTTACATTTAAATCATCCATATCTTTATGAAATTCAGCTTCCCAATGTTGCGATATTTTATTAAATATGGAATGTTCCACAATTGTGCTACCTTTGATTTTGTCTAACCAATCGGCTAAAGGATCTCTAGCCTCTTTCAATAATGCCTATGTACAGTTAAATACATTTTATTTCCTACAACTTTGCTCCTTACATATTTTTATAGTCGACTATTTTCGAGATATTTGAGCATTTCCGAACTTTTTGACCATGTATATCTTAAGCAATACTTACGTCTTGAAACTTGACAATTTTCTTTTCATCTTTCTCTTTCACTGCCTTCTGCAGATCTTCGATAGCTCTTGTTACTTTGTACAACATTTGTTCTAACATGCACTTTTTATCAGCACTACTTGTAGTTTTTACAACATTTTCAAAATTAGACATTACTTCTTTAACATCATCTAACATACTATTAAGGCTGTGATTTTCTTCCAAATATTTTTCATACAGATAATTCTGCCTTGCTCTTTTTATGATCTTATCATCTATATCAGTAATATTCATCACATATAAGACATCATATCCAAAATAATCTACACGACGCAGAATATCAAAAGATATATATGATCTGTAAAAAACACATATGATCTGCAAAAAACACATATATGTATATCTCATTTATAAGCTCGGAAAGACGCTTGATAAATATACTGAATTTAAATATACTGAAGCAGGGAGGGGATCCTGCTCCAATGATCTTGACATATGTTGCTAAAGTCATGACTTTGAGTGACCTTCAGGTTTCAGTTGTAGCTCATTTGTGTTATAAAAAGTTATATATATATATATATTAACAAAAAGAAAATTAATAAATCTCACACTTATATATACTTAAAAAGTAGATACATGCTAAGGGAAATGAATTCTATTCTTAATTATTTTAATTTCTTTGGTCAAATGTGATATTCTTGTTCAATCACATTCACTGTCAGTATACTTTCACACTTGTTAAAGAATCTTACTTTGTACTATTCAACATGCATTTACAAGAGTTTATTAATATAATATACAATCTTGATTGTCTATAGAATTATTTATTATGCAAAAAAAAAAGAATAATTCATCACAAAATTAATTGTTAAGAAATTATGTCTTCAGATAGAAACCTATGTGGAACCTCACTTCAAATAGCAAATGTATGCCTGCATGCGATGGATTTCATCCTCCCTATGGGAGAGACTCCACTATTAAAAAAATTGATACATAGATTTAGGTTGAACCTTGCTTTGCATGGAAAGTTGTAAACCCATGTGAAACCTTACTTCATACAAGTTCATAATTTTCTATGTAAAACAAAGTTCAACCTAAATACTTATGTATACAGTTTTTATTAGAAGAAAAGAAGAGAGTGAAACTCACTGCCTGCACATATACGTTTTATAATGCAAAGTAAGATTTCACACAGGTTTATAACTTTCCAAGCAAAAATTTACATACATTTTATCACTATTCAAAATATCAGAAAGAGTAATTAGTTTTGATAGTTAATAACTTTTTATTTTATCGAATAACAAGCGATGGCTAAAACCTGTTAAAAGTCGCTCAGGATCGTAATCTTGACAACATATGTCATCATAGCAAGGTATCCTCCTATTAATTTATCAGATACTTAAAACACTTCAAATATATGTACAATTGTATAATAAATACATTATCAAAAAAATATGCCAAGTAAAATTGTTTCATAAAAAAGCTATTGTATCAAACGAGAGAAAGAGAGAGTAAGAGATGCTTAAGCATATTATTTAGAGATAGCAGTACCTTGCATGTCCCATGTGAGATGCATCATAAACAGTAGGTCCACAACTGTACCACAAAACACGATTTCCAAACTGTGGGACAAATACCTCTTTCTCTCTAGTCAAACTATTGTACAATCGCAGTACCGTGGCATCCTTTCTATCTGGCACATGCCAAGCTGGTTGTGTTCTCTTGGCCATTTCTAATTCAAAAGAATACAAAGCATCGCTTCTTTAATCAAAAATAAATTTTTCGTACAGATTAATCAAAACATTTCTTTTAATAATCCAAAAGCACTTCGAGTATGCACTTTCTCAAAATATTTAGGAAATCTATTACAGTGAAAAAAAATTCAATTGCTTATCGTTAATTTACAATTTACCTTTCAATGTAGTCTTTTAAAATTTAGTCGAGGGAGTTTCAAGAGTCTGAAAAATCAAACCGAATGAGAAACCTATTTGATAACACGTATTCTATAGGAAGCAACGCTCAGGTACTCCGATGACGTTACTAGGAAGAAAGAATACATCAGTCAGAGAGAATCAAGGAAGAATGGAACGGATTCACTGGAAGCCGCCATTTTTAGCTCACCGTTTGATAACAAGCGGGGTATTTAACCCCTTTAAAATATAAGTTAATATTTAATATTTGCAGACAGAAGCATATGTCCGTAAATATTAAATGATTTTTCGAACATATGTCTACTGCCTACTACACACTGGACGCAATGAGCGATATCCAATGAGAGCTCAATTTTACATCATTATCGTCATACGAGAAAAAGCAAAGCTTTCATTGGATATCGCTCGTCGATCATCGCATTTGGTCTGTTCGACTTGATTACACTTTTTCATACTTTTTACACTTAAAATGAGATAGATATATATTTGGCGCTGAAAAGACAGAAAGCGAAGATGTTGAAAGAAGTGTAAAAAGTGTAAGGTTGTGTTCCGTTTCACGCATGATGCGCATGATGCATCTCTTATCCTTGTTATTTACCAACTGTTAAACAAAGATAAATGATGCATTATGCACATCATGCGTGAAACGGAACGTAGCCTAAGGGTGAAATCAAGCCCATGGCACATACAAAAACGTAAGGCCGTAAGATGTAATCAGTAAGCGAATTGGCCAATGACGATAGAGACCGTAAGGCCAGTAGCGAATCCAATGTTACGATTTCCTTACTGCTTACGTCTTACGGCCTTACGTTTTTGTATGTGCCATGGGCTTCACACGGTGCGGAAAAAGACTGCGGAATAGAGAATGCGTCATTGGCTGCGTTCAGCAGAGAAAGCAGCTTTGCAACTGTTATAAAATTCTTCAATATGATTGGTTTATACGTTTAGATCTGTAAGGAACCAAAAGTAAGAACCAATCGTATTGAAGAATTTTACAACAGTTGCAAAGCTGCTTTCTCTGCTGAACGCAGCCATTAAAGCAACCAATCAGCGCTATTCAGCGCTATTCGAAATAGCGCTGATTGGTTGCTTCAATGACGCATTCTCTATTCCGCAGTCTTTTTCCGCACCGTGTGATTTCACCATAAGTAAGTCGAACAGACCTATTGCGTCCTCAAGTAAGAGATTGGACAATTTCTGATTGGTCCGCCATATTTTCAAGATACTTAAAATAAAGTGAGATAGATGCATAAAATAAAATGAGATGCATGATGTGTATTGGCTCCTGTACACAGAACGTAGCAACGCCTGCCGCGCGGCGGAAATTGGCGCGATAGCCAATCAACGTCTCGCTTGCTCGGAAGTAAACCAATCAGAAAAGGGAACACTATCTGCTCCACTCTCCCTTGATTCTCCCTAGTTACGGCCAGTATACAAATGCTCCGAAACTGTCGCTAGTCCACGGTGATTGGCCGAGCCTGAAAAGCCAATCCAATCGCCATCGTCGTTTGTCCGCAATGGCCGCGTAAACTTTTTCCGGCCATCTTGTTATTATTTTCGAAAATCTTGAGGTTGGATTTTCGGAAAGACGCAAGACGCAATATAGTTGATGCGAACGCCTCCGGCACTGTGTTTCCGATTAACTGGCGTAAGAAAAACGTTGCTCGCATGAGGTTGAGAGTACAGGGTTGCGACGAAGAACGGTCTGGGCGGTGGGTATCACACGAACCTCTCCGCAAAGTCGATCCTCGCCTTGCTCTGCCTTGCTCAGTCTTGCTAGCGACCGTCGCAATAGTAGCTGTAGGAAGCAGAGAGCGAGAAGGACGAAGGAATACGTACGAGAGACGGCGTGAGAGGAGTGGGAGGAAGAGAGAGCGAAAGAGAGAGAAAGAGAGAGAGAGAGAGAGGGAGCGCACGAATGGTAGCGAGAAAGCACGACATAGGAGGAATGACGAGTGCGTGAAACGAGGTACGAAAGTTGGTGGTTGTGCGCGGGAATCAGCGGTTGTGTGTTTGACCCTTTTTATGCTTGTGATTCGCGCCGAAGTGGCCCGACCGTCGGCGCGGAACGTGTGCTTTTTTTAATTTCCAAAAACAGCGTGAGTACGTGTATGATAGTGAGCACGGTAAGTCGCGCGTCGTTTTCCCGCGGCGCCTTCTCCACTCTCGGGGGGCTCCTGACGACGCAATCAACGGATGAATGGGCAGCCGACTCTCGGGGACGCCGAGGATCGCGTGAGTGAGGTACGTCTGCGGCCATCCCCGCGGACGTACCGCTGCGTCCTCGCCCGAACGTGTCACTTGTCTATCCCATCCGTCCGCGTGACAATTTGCGTCCGCGGCTCGTTCCACATAACCTTGCTTCCGATTGTCAAATGTAGGTTAGATCGAGTGACCGCGGCGGCGAATCGGCGGTCCTCTCGCGCGCGGGCACCTCGCGTGGAGGAGCGATCCTTGCCCTCTTCCCGGTTCTCGTCCTGCTTCGGTTCCCCGCGTCGCGGAGATCCCTCTCGGGTTTTTTAGGCGCAGCGCGAACACGTGCGACGTAGTTCCTAACGGCACCCTCGATATTTTGGAGTATCGTTGCTGAACGTTTGCCATTTCGATGTCGCACGATCGCACGATCTCGAAATTTCCCCGCGCTAGACTTCTAATGAAAGACAATTTATATCTGGAATAAAACTCTTGTACACGTAATCTATTGTCCGTTTCTTTAGGAATTAGAAGCATCAGCTATGTCTTAACTATCTTGCTACGCTTTTATAACTTAAAATAGTCTAACAACAAATTCGGTTAAACGCACTAATGCACCCTGGTGCATTTTAAAACGATTGTACACTGATTTAATCTGAGTATAAATATGAAATTTCTCAAATGTGTCTCTAGTAAAGTGCATATTGTACCAAACAGTACAATAAACTATTTTAAAGATTTTGCGGTTTGTTCGTTTATATATTTACATTAAATATACATTCTTACTTCGATTTGTGTATAATGACTTTAATATGTACTAGGAACACAGATCATTTGACTGTAGCTGATCTTAGCGATTAGTTCTTATGAATTTTCCTACTGGACAAGCTTTGTAAATGGCTTATGCAATGTAATCAAATAACTCATCCATGTATACTAGTGTGCATTAGTGTATGTATACCAAATTCATTATTAGGTTCACAAAGGCTAAATTTACATTAATCATATCCATCTATTTGCTAGTCAATATATCTAAGTGTATTACTAAATGCAAGATATTTTCACGTGTCTCTTTTATTTAAAAGGTAGAATATACGAAAGGATATACAGTTAAGATACATACAATGGCAACTTTGGCTGAGCAAGCATCTAAATTATTGGACTTTAATCAGAAATTGGATATAACACTTCTCGACAATATAGTAGGATGTATGTACACTGGAATAGGTGAGCAACAAAGAGTTGCTCAAGAAGTATTAACAACTCTTAAAGAACATCCAAATGCTTGGACACGGGTAGATACCATTCTAGAATATTCACAGGTAATTTGGTCAAATGTTTTTCGTATCTGTGGTTGCATATATATATGTATACATATCTTTGCAAATAATTATATTGTTGCTTCAGAATCAACAAACAAAATATTACGGTTTGCAAATATTGGAACAAGTTATAAAGACACGATGGAAAGTATTACCAAGAAATCAATGCGAAGGCATAAAAAAATACATTGTAGGCCTTATCATAAAAACAAGCAGTGATCCAGAGACGATGGAAGCTTCCAAAGTTTATCTTAACAAACTTAACATGATCCTTGTACAAGTGAGTAAAAATTATTCCTCTGATGTATTTCTTTGTGAAATATCAATTACATGTAACAATATTATTGTCAGGTACTAAAACGTGAGTGGCCAAAAAATTGGGAATCGTTTATCAGTGATATTGTTGGTGCAAGTAAAACTAATGAGAGTCTTTGTCAAAACAACATGACTATTTTAAAACTTTTGTCAGAGGAAGTATTCGACTTTTCTAGTGGTCAACTCACTCAGACAAAGGCAAAACACTTAAAAGATACAATGTGCAGTGAATTTTCACAGATATTCCAGCTTTGTCAGTTTGTGATGGAAAATTCACAAAATGTTCCGTTAGTAGCAGTCACATTAGAGACGCTATTAAGGTTTTTAAACTGGATTCCACTTGGTTATATTTTTGAAACGAAGTTGATAACTACTTTAATATACAAGGTATTGTGTCATATCATATGTATTTTTTTCATTACTTTTCGTTTTAAGATTTTTATTTATTCTCAGATTATGACGTTAAAAGTATAAAAAACAAAAATTCTTGCAAATTATATTTGAATAGAAATATTTTTTAATAAAACAATTTGCAATCGATAGAATAGACTTATGAAATATATTGAAAACTTTTGTTTTAGTGGGAAATTAAATCAGATTTATTTCTATTATACTATTAAAGAGGGACATACATCCAGATAGGTTAAAAAGATGCTTATTTATACGAATTTTTTTGGTGAAAATTTAACTTAAGATTTTGATCAATATTTTAACATATATTAATGAAAATTTTAATTAAAATTTTTAAATAACACTTACTATTCTTATTAATATACATGTAAAATATTAATTGAAACTATCTGAATAAAATTAATAGTTTTAGGGAAAAAATATGTAAAAAGAGGCATCTTTGACTGTCCAGGGTGTCCTTTCTTAATTTGACAGTCTGTCATATCTGTGAACATAGCTCATTTCATTTTTGATTTTATATAATTCATTTTTAGATATATTTATTATTGCATAATTATTTTGATGTATTAACAGAATAAATAAACAATAAATTTTATTATAAATAATTAATTTATAATTTAGTTCTATTAATTGTATTTTTTTATTGAAACATATTTCCATTATAAATATATTTTATAAGAATCTTTATTGTGAATTTTTTCGCTTCTGACATCACAATCTGAGATAGTGATGAATGAATAGGAGCCTTAAATAAGAGTTGTTTGTGCTTCACTATTATTTATAATAATCTATGTTTTCAATTTACAGTTTTTGAACGTACCAATATTTCGGAACGTTACTCTAAAATGTTTAACTGAAATCGCAGCAGTCATTGCCACTATACCGAATTATGATGATATGTTTATTATATTATTTATCAACACGATGGAGCAATTGGAAATAATGCTTCCGCTGGAAACTAACATACGTGAAGCATACGCGGCTGGCCAAGATCAAGAACAAAATTTTATTCAGAACCTAGCTATGTTTCTTTGCACTTTTCTCAAAGATCATGGCGAGCTAATAGAAAAAAAACAAATGAATGAGATATTAGTAAAGGCTTTACATTACCTCGTTCTTATTTCTGAAGTCGACGAGGTTGAAATCTTTAAAATCTGTTTAGAATATTGGAATGGATTAGCAGCTGATTTGTACAAAGAGAATCCTTTCGTGACCTCGTCGCCGCTTTTCATGTCTAAAAACATGACGGTTCCACCTCGGAGATTATTTTATGGTCAAGTTTTGACGAAAGTACGATATATTATGATCAGCAGAATGGCGAAGCCCGAAGAAGTACTTGTTGTGGAAAATGAGAACGGCGAGGTTGTCAGAGAATTTATGAAAGATACTGATTCTATTAATCTCTATAAAAATATGAGAGAGACTCTTGTGTATCTTACTCATCTTGATTATTTGGATACGGAGAGAGTAATGACAGAGAAATTACAAAATCAAGTTAACGGTACAGAATGGTCTTGGAAGAATCTCAATACGGTAACTGTCTTTCAAAATATATATTTTATATACATTTACAAATAATAAAGTGTGTTAGATGAGAGACGATTAGAGAGGATAGAGGATTATAATATTATATTTATTATGTCTATTGTTTTGTTAGTTGTGTTGGGCAATAGGTAGTATTTCGGGGGCTATGCATGAAGAGGACGAAAAACGTTTTTTAGTAACTGTAATAAAGGATTTACTTGGTCTGTGTGAACAAAAAAAGGGAAAAGATAATAAAGCTATAATTGCCAGCAATATCATGTATGTTGTTGGTCAGTATCCACGGTTTCTCCGAGCCCATTGGAAATTTTTAAAGACTGTTGTAAATAAACTTTTTGAGTTTATGCATGGTAAGTAGATATTTTTATTACGGAAACATTCTGTTGTATAATACAATTTGAACATAAACAAATAAATAGTCTTTGTTCATGTTTTAGAGACGCACGATGGAGTGCAAGATATGGCCTGCGATACTTTTATTAAAATAGCACTGAAATGCAGACGACATTTTGTTACTGTACAAGTAGGGGAAGCAATGCCGTTCATTGAAGAAATTCTTTCTACAATTAGCACAATCATATGCGATCTTCAAACACAACAAGTAAGATTAGTCGTTAATACTTATTTTACATGCTTATTAATGTAATGTGTAATATTGTGCAATTACAATCTAATATTATACAATAGGTACATACATTCTATGAAGCAGTTGGCTATATGATAAGTGCTCAAGCCGATACTCTAGTGCAGGAACAGTTAATTGAGAAATACATGCTTCTCCCTAATCAGGTTTGGGATGACATTATTAGTCAAGCATCTAAGGTATGTCGTAATATTTTGTTGTGTTACATCATAAAAAAAAACAGATGCTTTATATTTGTATATAATGCAATTGTATTTCAATATAAATATTTTTCACTAGAATGTAGATGTCTTAAAGGACCAAGAAGCTGTGAAACAACTCGCCAGCATCTTAAAAACAAATGTTAGAGCTTGTAAAGCTCTTGGGCATCCGTACGTGATACAGTTAGGGAAAATATACTTAGATATGTTGAATGTTTATAAGGTAGGTTCCTCTATTTGTATGTAAAAATTTTCAATAATATTGATACTTAAATAGCGAGTTTACATTTTTTTCAGGTTATGAGTGAAAATATAAGTGCTGCGATAGCTGTGAATGGTGAGATAGTAATGAAACAACCTTTAATCAAGAGTATGAGAGTAGTGAAAAAGGAAACGTTGAAATTGATATCAGATTGGGTGAACAGGACGAATGATCATCAAATGGTAAGTTTTTTGCTTATAAACTTGTATATTTTTCTTTTGTCCTTCCCTAAATTCAAATTTATCTCTTTAATTTATTTCATGTATACAACATATACTTATGGAGATTTTCATTGATAGGTATTGGAAAACTTTATACCACCGTTATTGGATGCTGTTTTACTTGATTATCAAAAGACGAATGTTCATTGTGCTAGAGAGCCTGAAGTGCTTAGTGCTATGGCCACCATAGTAAATAAACTAGAAGCTCATATCACTAGTGAGGTGCCCAAAATATTTGATGCAGTATTTGAATGTACTTTAGAAATGATAAACAAAGACTTTGAAGAATTTCCGGAACATAGAACAAACTTTTTCCTCCTTTTACAAGTAAGTGAAGCAATATCCATTTGCTTGTTTTCATACGATTAAATATTCCTCCGAGTTATACTTAAAGATTATTTTATCTTTTTTTTTAATTCAGGCGGTGAATATTCATTGTTTCCCTGCATTTCTTTCAATTCCACCGGCTCAATTTAAACTGGTTCTTGACTCGATTATTTGGGCTTTTAAACATACGATGAGGAATGTAGCTGATACAGGATTACAAATTCTTTATCAACTTCTATTAAATATTGAGCAGCACGAACAGGCGGGTCAAAGTTTTTATCAAACGTATTTTACGGATATTCTACAACATGTATTCAGTGTTGTTACAGATACATCACACACTGCAGGTAAAGTAATAGTACAGTTGTCATTATTAATTAATATTTACATTAATATTAATCGATATATATTGTTTTTATATATTTGATTTTATTAATGTGTACAGGCCTGACTATGCACGCGACTATTCTCGCTTATATGTTTACACTGATTGAACGTGGGAAAATTCAGGTGCCGCTTGGCCCTGTGCCTGATAATACTTTATATATACAAGAATTTGTTGCAAGATTGCTTAAAGCAGCCTTTCCGCATTTAACCGATAATCAGATTAAAATAACTGTACAAGGTTTGTTCCATCTTAATCAAGATATCAACGCATTCAAGGAACACCTCAGAGATTTTCTCGTACAAATCAAAGTAAGTAATATTCAACATTTTGTGCTTGTACATTTATCTAAAAATATATATGAAATAGTTCATATTATTTCGCAGGTTATAAATAGTAGGACAAAATAATAGCTATCAGACTTGAAAGTTATTTCTTTAAGTTTTAAAATAAATTGTTTTTGTCTGTAGGAATATACGGGTGAGGATGATTCTGAGCTTTATTTGGAAGAACGAGAAACAGCTTTACGGCTAGCCCAAGAAGAGAAAAGGCGGCAGCAAATGGCGGTACCAGGCATTATTAATCCTCATGATATGCCAGAAGAAATGCAGGACTGAATTACCATAGTCCTTGTCTATCATGTTTTGCACATCTGAATGAGAAACACTGTTAAAAAATAATTATTGTATCCTTTGAGCTGTAATTATCCTTATGACATCACCATAAAAAATAGACAAATATTGATTATACTTACTAAAACCGAGTCTGCAAAAAGAAACTACACCCTTGTTAGGGAAGTAAGCCCAAAACGTGGTGAACTGTTTGTTATAGGATTTAAAAAAAAATTCGAGTTTCCGTTGTGGATAATAGGACAATTGCCTGCTAGCGATGCTATTTCATGTAATGAAATAAAAGATTGCTTCTCAGAGAAAATCGATTGTCTAAGAAACGATAACTCTATAGGACAAAAACGTTTACAAATTAATTCCCAGATAATTAGAATTACACAAAAAATGGTAGATATAGCAAAATAACCAGTTTTGAGAATTACCCTCAAATGATTCGATATATATATATATTTCATACATGATGAATTTTCTCTATATAAAATTTTCCACGAAACCTATAATACTACTATATTTAAGTTTCGTTTTAGCATTTTTTTTCTATGCGAGTTAAGAGAAACGCTATAGTCCACAGAATTGTTTTGTGCACACTATTGGCCATTTAAATTTCTTGTCGAATGGATATGGATATGTATGTATGTATGTAAGCTTACTTGTGATAGCTTATACTAATGTATTGATACATGAATTTGTTATAATATAAATAATACAAAGAAAGTTTTTCTTGTTCCATACTTTTTATTCAGTCAAAATGATATATTCATTCATACAACCGAGAATACATTATTATTCAGCAATAATGCCAATAAAATTAATTTCTTTTTTTTTTTTCGAAAGGTAACAAATGATGGAACGTATACAGTGATATGAGACGCGTGCGCGAGTGATAAACTTACGTCTACTAGATGAATGCACAGGTATATAGTATATCTAACAAACAATCCGAATAATTCAAAACCGTGTAAAAAATTATATAAATATATATAAACCAGCGCGACCTATTTAACTTGTTAGATGATAAATGCATTTATTTGATCATTATACATATAATAATGATTTCAGTGAATATTTAGTGAATTAGTGTACTTTATCGGGCGTGAGTGAATAGGAAATCTCTTGGTGATTTGCGTGAGATAAGATTTGTGTATAAGGTATCATTGGGTTTGTGATCGATGTAAAAGGATAATTTTTATTGCAATGAATCATATAAATGATTGTCGTATGTATGTTTAAATCAGTGTAGAGCTTTAAAGAGTAATACGTCGATATTATAGTTACATGCAGGGGACAAAGGGACGATTGAATTTGAGATATGTGAATAATTTGCATAAAATAGTATCGTCGCAAGCAGGCTCTGAAGATTATGTGTACGTGAAGGCGCGTGTTTTTATCTAACGATCAATGAGAGCGAAGTTGTATAAAATACTATCATTATTACTATTATTATGAACCATACAGTGAACACTTGTAAATTAAAATGATCGCAACCGTACGTTTAGCACTTATTTAGGTATTTCATCTCGATTTATGTTGTCGAATTTAACTTACAATTAGTAATTACAAGAAAAAAAATTTACGCTGAGGAATCTTCCTACCTAAAGATTAGCGACTTATATTGAAGAATCGAGTTTTTTAATACATTCTGTTTTTACAAATCATATTGTCGTATCATTAGTCATGCGCGGCGTTCTATTGAAATTAAATAAATTTAAATAAACGAATTTGATTCATTGTACTATCGCCTTGTTTTTATTATCTAAAACACTGGTTCTCTTATTATCTATAAAAATATTTCAAAGACAACATTAGAGTTTTGATATATTATCCCCATAAAGCATAGAAAGATTGCAGAAATATTTCATTGGAGGATTGCAACATTGCAAAAATATTGTAAAATGTTGCTGCAACGTGGTAGTAACATTAATTAAAATGCCCCCTTCAGAAAGACTGCAATGAAATCATTGCAACATTACAATATAAACTGCGTCGTTCTATTTGATTTGATGTTCACAGTTCTTGTAAGCTCATTTGTCCTTTAAGAGGATGCTGGAGTTGTCCTATTTTACCATAACTTTAGATCCTCTAATCTTTTAATTGCATTTACAAATTTGAAAATCCCTTTCCATGCACAATTAAAGTATTGACAAAAATATTGTGTGCATGCAACAATTTCACATAAAACGGAAAAGAATGGGAAAATTACACGTTTTGTTATCGACTTCCGACGTCGACTCATAACAACATTTACTTTATATAAAAGTTTTACGCTTTATGAAAAGTATTTATATGTATGAAATGAGCTTAGAGCGCACTACAGATTAAATGAGAGAACAATATTATCTAATTAAAAAAGAAAAATCCTATATTCGATCAAAGCGGTTTTCATGTGTTTAAATATTTCTGTATGAATTTATATACATATCTGATTCTACAAACTGCGCGCCGAAATTTTTTTCAGTCTTGAAACATATTCATAAGCAGAATTAGAGTAGTAATATTTTATTAAATTGATAAGCAATTTAATAATTTTTTTTATACTAATGAGTAATCTATACAAATATTAACAATGTGTTAAAGGGAATCTAAACCTGCGAATAATTTCATTGCGAAAAATATTGCCTTAGTCAAGAACAAATATTGTCGAAGTCTCGGTAATCGAATTGATATGACGTCCCGGAAAGTCAGAAGTTTCAGGTTTAAATCCTGGCCAAGATATTTTTCGAAATAAAATTATGCTTATTATTAATATATTCTCGTGAAAAGGTAGTTTTGACTCTTCTGTCACCCCCTTTCGACCCTTCCGGCATAGGACCATAGGACCTGAGCAGTTAGCATAAAGATGGTCGTAATTGAGTCAAGAAATGTGAGTCGCAGTCGTAAGCAGTCGTAGATTAATGGCCGCAGCACAGACTCTTGCATAACGCATAATGCATGGTGATCCAACAGTTGCAAAACGAACGTTCTGTTGAACGCAGCCAATATCAGAGCATTTATTTCGTAACTAGGAAGGAAAAGTAGAAAAAGTAGGAAAGCAGAAGCCAATCAGAATTCGGGCTGTACTATCATCTATTATGCGGGGTCTACAATAAAAGTCGTAGCGGTCGTAAGGTCTTAAGTCGTAGAAAATTGCCCAATCACAGTCGAATATGAGAAGAATAATCAACTGTGATTGGTCAATTTTCTACGACTTAAGATCCTACGACCGCTACGACTTCTATTGTAGACCCGTATCACTCTGCAGGCTAACCCGACTGCCAACTCTGACTGCCGATCAATAATGGACCAATCACAATAAGACTGATTCAATGTGATTGGTCCATTATTGGTCAACAGCCAGAGTTGGCAATTGGGTCGGCTTGCAGAGTCGGTAGTCTGATACGGGCTTAACGCAGAATGTTTTGCTCATAGTATAAGATTCTAAGGCCGGAATCAGACTAGGCATTAAAGATTGAGATTGAAGATTGAAAGATTGAAATTTGACCAATCAAAACAATAGGAGTTAAAATTCC